TACAGCGAAGACGACTGAGGTGCGGAGAGAGTGACTTGCCTGCGGACGGCGGGCGGTAAGAGGAGGCACAGGCCGATCCTGGTTCCCCTCTGTGCCACCCTGTCTGGACAGCTTGTGGCGGGCAGGGGAAGGCTGTGGAGGCTGGGCATGGGAGACCCCAGAGTTTTCGCGCAGGCTTGGAGGGGCCCAGGGTGAGGAAGGAGGCCTGGCTTTCCTGCGCATGTCCCCTGCCCTCGGAGTGGATGGGGAGTGTCTGGGAAAGGGCGAGGACCTGTCTGACCTCTAGCCCACTGAGGGCCTTCCCCACCCCCAGCCCTGGCTGTGGTCCCGGGAGAGTGAGCAGTCCGGAGGGGACCAGCCAGCTCCCCAGTGGCTCTGAAACCGGAGAGTCAGGGGTGTGGGGGTGGTGAGTGGGGACCCGCTGGTCACTGCCAGGGCAGGCTGTCCTGAGCTGGAAGCCTGAGGGGTTCTGTGGGATGAGGCTACCAGTCAGCTCCAGGCGGGGGAGACAGGCTGCGGGGAGCCCTGGCAGGGCCTTGTCTCGGGCAGGGTGCCGTATCTACCTGGTAATGTGCCTGTGCACTTGTGTACTCCCAGGAGTGTCAGTGTGTGTGTGGGGGGCTGGTGGTGGGTACGGATATGTGTGCCTGGTAGGGCAAGGACTGTTCAGGGACATGGCCACCAAGCAGGTGGCAGTGTGTGGGGGTGTTGGGAGCTCACAGTGTGTGCTGTGTGCTGGTGAGGCAGTATGGACATCAGGTGGTGTACATGGCCGCGGGTGAGTGGGGGCTGTGGTCCAAGCTGTCGGAATCCTGGCTCAGGAGGGGCAGTGGGCCTGAGTGGCTCAGATAATGTGGGGCAGAGGTGTCAGAGACCAAGGACCCGTGTTCACACTTCCGACCTAACCCAGCCTCGGCATCTGCATCCGTGGGACAGGGGTGAAGGAGGCAGCGCAAGTGCAGTACTCCCAGCATCTGGCAGGCAGGCCCTCTGCAGGTTGTCCAGAGGCTGTGGGAGCCCCCAGACCTCCATGGCTCCCCTGGGCCCAGATGCTCAGACTCCGAGCAGCCTACCTGGGACACTCCACTGGGTGTTTGCCCTGGGGTTGGTGGTGGAAGGAAGCAGTACGTCAGGCACTTCCTGGTGAGCATGCTCTTTGCTGAGGTTTATTGGAGCATCTGTGAGTTGAGGACAGGCTGTGTTGTGTGTCCGTGAGTCCCCCAGGGGTGTGTGTGTGTGCACAGCTCGAGGTGCAGAGATGGGAGGTGTGTGCTGGAGTGCATTGGGCTGTATTCCCAATAAATTCTAGTGGACGTACAGGTTGGGGTGGGCAGACAACACCTTAATTGTGTGGTATGTGTGGTATGTGTGCATGTGTGTGTTTGTATGTGTTGGAATGTGTGTGTACAGTGCCTGCCTGAGGATGTTGGGTTTTACGGTTTGTCAGTCACTTTGTGTGTGTTGGGGTGTGTGTGCACCACGCTGTCAGGTGGAAGAGGGTTCTGAGTTTACCTGGAGGGTCACAGTGAGTGTCCAGGACAAGCCAGCAGAGTCCTGGAACATTTGGATTCAGTTCTCTTTAAGGGAAGAGCATGGATAATTATGCTCATTATGCATGAAATTATGCAAATATGGAGGTCATTTAGGGGTCAAAGGCTGTTTGTCACCCTCCTCCTCAGGCGCTTTGTGACTTCTGAGTCGCTCCCTCCTGCCAGCCTGGCTATTCCCATTCCCTTCCTCTTGGTGCTCTATAGGGACCCCACAGGCCTGGGCTGTCCCCATTGTTGAGTCCCCTGGTCTCCCAGGATGGCTGGGTTATACCCACCCTCTCCACCTTGTCTAGGGGCTGCTTATTATTCGGGAAGAATGTTCTTCTGGATGCAGGCTTGGAAAATCACTGAGGTAGCCCCTTCCTTAGCTTCGTCTGATCAGCAGGATGCTAAATTAAGATGTGAGTGCTTTCTGCCTCCCACTCTTGCCTTCTCGCCTTCCCTCTGCCCCTTGCCCGCCCTGTGCCCCTCTACCTCTGGCCCCCCTCTGTCCTGTGCCTCTCTATCCCTGCCTCCACCCTCCCCCTCTGTTCCTCCAGGATCTCGCCCTCTTCTGCATCCCCCATCTCTGTGGGGAGCTGCAGCTCCTGGTCCTTACCACAGAGGAGATGGTTGTCATGGTAACGGTTGTCATGTCGATGGCTACTGAGCTAGGGATGAATAGTATCTAGGTGAGAGCTACCTGAGTGGAGGCTGATAGATTCACAGGAGGCTTGATGCTTGTCTCCGAGCCTCAGAGCTGCACAGTACCTACCCCCGCCACTTTCCTCCCATGCGGTGCCCTAAGGTATGCTCACACACTGTCTTACTATGGCTGCCTTTAGGTGAGTGTGTCAGGGTATGTCTCTGTGTTTTCTCTGTCTTTGGGTGTGTCATTTCCAGTGTCTTTGTGCCGTTGGGAGGTAGGGGGCTCTTTGGGTTTGTGCCGATCTTTCCAGAGTCAGAGTGGTAGGGCTGCTATGTGGCACGAGTCACCATGGAAACTGGAGGACTCCCTGGTTGGTTCCCACATTTACTCCTGTTTTGGGTTCCCAGGAACCACAGACCTCTCAAAATCCTTCCTCTCAGTTAATGGCCTCCTGGTCACTCCCTAGCTGCGCGAGGGACAGAAAGTGAAGGTGGCACTGGCTGTGGGGAGGAGCCCAAGCCCTAGGCCTTAGTTCCCAGGAGGCAGAAAGTCCTCTGGGACTCCAGCGTGTGGTCCTGGTGATTTGCTCTTCTGGGTGGGGACGGGAGCAGCAAAAAGCTGGACAGCGGCTGCTCTGAGCTCCTGGAATGTCTGAGGAGGAGGAAGACCCTGCAATTAGTCACAGGAGCAATTACATTAATTGCTCCACTCCATGACTCACTGGTAGAAAGTAAATACTGATTAATTCATTACTTTGTGACGTGTGTGTGTGTGTGTGTGTGTGTGTGTGTGTGTGTGTGTGGTGTTTGGTGAGAGGGGTGTCTCCTGGCTCCTTGCCCTGGCTGGGCTGTGCAGGGCTTAGAGCAGGTGGTTAAAGCCGGGGCAGGAAGCCAGGACTGAGATCCTGTCTCTGGTTCTGAATGAACTCCAGAAGGAGTACGAGAGACCGAGCAGGAAGTGCTGGTCCAGCCCCTCTCCTGCTCATATAGCTTCCATGGCTCCCATTGCCAGTCAAACATTGCAGATGCGCAGGCACTGAGCCCTCCTGGACCCTTGCATTCAACTCTCACCGAATTCTGATGCGCAGTGACCAGTTTCCAAGAGGAAGTCTGCCAAACCCTGAAACCCTTCTCTGATTGGCCCCTGCTCCAGCCTGCTGTGCCCCTCCCAGCCTCCAACTCTAACTCTGTCCTTAACAAATGCGAAACCACTCTGTGCCAGACACCTCGCTAGACGTGGACGCATGTTACCTTCATCAGGGGTCTAGTGTAGCAGGGGTGGGCACAGCCCCTGGACAGTGAACCCCAAGCAAACCGGCAGTGACAGTGTTGTGAATAAGAACCACTGGTGGGGCTGGGGATTTAGCTCAGCGGCAAAAGCGCCTGCCTGGCAAGCACAAGGTCGTGAGTTCGGTTCCCGGTACCGGAGAAAAACCAAAAAAAAAAAAAAGAAAAGAAAAAAAAAAACCACTGGTGCTCTTTAAAGTTCAAAGTAGAAGGCTTCTCAAAAGAAGTGATGTGAGACTGGGAGTTAGCTGCAGCCAGCTTGAGGTCGAAGGGATGGAGGCAGGAATGAAGGCGCTGTGGGGTAGGATGGGGACCGGAGTGCTGGGGGACACTGGAGGGTGGGCAGGGCCAGTTTCAAGGGCAGTGGCTGCACTTCCTCACCCTGGAGTCTTTGCTTTTTCTCTTTCACCTCAGCTGCCTTTCATTTCCATTTTCAGTGTTTCAGACCCAAATGCCACGTCCACATCCTTCATATCCGATCACCAGGAGTAATCTGACTTCCCTCTGAGGGCTCTCGGTGGGCAGGACTGGCTAGATAGGGCTGTAGAGCACAGCCATGCCTGTTCTGCTCTGGGCATCTGTACGCCTGCCGTGGAGGTCGCTAGCTCTGGCTGCAGCCCCACTGTTGCAGGGGGAGGGGAAAGGGGAGACTTGGACCCAGGAACTGAGGCCTGGTGAGCTCTGGACCCTTGGAGAAGAAGCCCCTCTCACCCACAGTGGCCCCTGGAGGTAGAGGTAGCATGCAGGCCCTGTGCTGGTTCTGGGCTGTTGGCCGGTGGAGGGAGCTGACCCATAGGCAGGATGGAGCCTGTTCTTTCGCCCTTCCGCTTCCCCACCAAGGAACTGCCCTCCCTGAGCCCTGAACCTACCCTCACCCATGTCTCCCTGATAGTACTAGGTGCCGTGCCTTTTTGAATTTGTGGTGCCACTTAGGATCCCAAGCAGAAGCTGAATTGTACATATCCCCTGCCCTCTGGTGGCCTGGGCAGCCAGTTCAGTTCCTCCATCTGTACATTGGGCTGAGGCCTTTTATACCCCAACCCTGTCTGGAATGCTTAATGGGCTGTTGTCCATGGTAGGCACTTGTAAGTGGGTCGATGATGCCGGCTGAGAGAGGACGGCAGCCAGTCTGTGCTAATCACCCAGTGCACGCGGGGTGTGCCAGCCTGTGAATTAGCACTCTGCACATGCACAGCTCAGTGAGGCAGGTGCTCTTTGCTTATTTCCCAAACAAGTAAACAAAGGCACAAAAGGAGGGGGTAACTTGCCCCAGCCCCCACATTTAGTAATCAAAAGAACCAAGATTCAAACTCAGTACTGGCTGGCCCCAAACCAGGTCCCAACATTCAGGGATTCTGAACAGGGATGGAGGAGCAGCCAGGGGTGTCCAGAGGTGGCCGTCAGGCAGGAGATGGGGCCGCTAGCTACCCTGTTGGCCCGTGTGGATGCCACGCAGCCCTCCAGTGTGCCTGGCATCTGTGTGCCTCCAGGCTGCTGGCCTTGGGTGTGAGGCCTGTGCTTGTCCTGCCTTTCCAGGCCCAGCGCTGGCGCAGTGAGAACTTTGAGCGGCCTGTGGACCTGGAGGGCTCCGGGGATGATGACTCCTTTCCTGAGGATGAACTGGATGACCTATACTCAGGGTCAGGCTCCGGCTGTGAGTACCCCCGTCGCCTTGTCTGTAATGGCCCGTGTGTCATGACCAGTGTGCTTTGCTGCCTCACCCCCAGGGACCCAGGCCGCCCTCTCATGGTGCAGAGGTCAGGCGGGGCTGTCTCAGGGACCCCAAAGGACAGAGCATCCTGCTTGGTAATGAAATAGGCCCAAAGGGCCTTAACACTAGGGACTCCCAGCTCTTGTCTCTGAATCTTTGTTGCTGAAGCCTTTCTGCAGCCCTCTGGCCCATATCAGAAACAGACACCCCTCAGTAATCCAGTCTTCATGGCACTGTTCCATCCATCTGGAGGAATTTGGCAGCCAGCTCTTGGTGGTCATGGCAGGTCCTCGGGAGAAGTGATTGGCCCAGCATGGCCCAAGTGGCCCCCTTAGATCCAATCAGCTGTGTCCAGGGGCGGGGCTAAGGCAGGGATGCAGGGTCTGTAGTGCCTGGGCCACTGGTTCCTGGCCCTGCCCTGGCGGAGGTGTGTCACGCCGTGGGTCAGGCTGGGCAGTGTGACATCAGGCAGCTCCATCTTGGCCTTGCTGCTGCTGTCTCTGTATGCTTCCTGGTAGGTGGGTAAAACATGCTTTCCTCTTTGGGACTCTGGGAGGGGTTGGGACAGGAAGTCAGGGTCTGCAGGGAAAGGAGCTCTGGAACTAGTAGGTGGGACTATCCCAGCAGAGGACAGAATGGCGTCTGCTGAAACCTGGGCCACATGCTGGCGGCTCCGGCCCCTAGACTCTCTCTAGCCCACTCCTTAAGCCTTACCCACCTTAGTCTTGGTGAAGACCCTTCCCTAACGATCTCCCTCCTCCCTCTGCCTGCTTCAGCCCCCAGAGCCCTGGGCTTCTCTCTTGTGCTCTCTGCACTCCCTTCATCTCATTTCCCAAGTTCCTTTGCTTACCATGGTGGCGCTGACAGAGCCAGGTGGCCCAGGCAGTTCCCCTGTAGGAAGGGCCCATTCTCCCTCTTGCCCTCCGCTGGGGCCTCTGGGTGGCCCTCACTGCCTCAGGCTTGCAGTGGGCATGCACCTGACTCTTCCCAAATGCCACGGTTCTGCTCCCTTCCACTGAAAGTGAGATTGGCAGCCAGTGGCACCCTCATTGCTGCTGCTTGGACTCCAGCTGATAGGAGCTCCAGGTGGGGTGGGCTGGAACCTCAGGAAGGCTTTCTGGAGGCAGCAGCTCCTTGGACACATTTGGGAGGTGCAGAGGAGCTGGCGAGGGTGGCCAGGCTGTGCCTTCCTGCTTTCCCTCATGTTTTCCTGGACACTTAGGCGGGGGTGGCGGTGTAGGTGGTGTCGCCTAATGGCTGCTGCTTACCTGGGGTCCTTATCCCTGCAAGTCACCCAGCTGTCTGGCTTTCTCCCTCTCCCTGTCCCCTCAGACTTCGAGCAGGAGTCGGGCATTGAGACGGCCATGCGGTTCAGCCCCGAGGTAGCCCTGGCCGTGTCCACCACACCCGCAGTGCTGCCAACTACGGACATCCAGCCTGTAGGCACCCCATTTGAGGAGCTCCCCTCCGAGCGTCCTACCCCAGAGCCTGTCACCAGTCCCCCGGTGGTGACAGAGATTCCAGAAGAGCCCAGCCAGAGAGCCACCACCGTCTCCACCACCATGGCAACCACCACTGCCACCATGGGGGCCCCAACCATGGCCACGGCACCTGCCACCGTGGCCACTGCTGCTCCCAGCACCCCTGCAGAATCCCCTTCCACGGCTACCACTGCTGTTATAAGGACCACTGGCGCACGGAGGCTTCTGCCTCTTCCACTGACCACGGCCGCCACAGCCCAGGCCACCACCCCTGCAGCCCCCTCAACCCCCACCACTGTGGCCGTCTTGGACACGGAGGCCTCAACACCCAGGCTGGTCAGCACAGCTACCTCCCGGCCGAGGACCCTTCCCAGACCAGCTACCACCCAGGAGCCCGATGTCCCTGAGAGGAGCACCTTGCCCCTGGGGACCACGGCCCCTGGACCCACAGAGGTGGCTCAGGTGAGGACCCTGGGAGAGGGTGGGGCACAAGAGGAGGTCAGGGCCAGGGGAGGAGGCTGGAGCTGGGTGGGGAGAGGACTAGGAGGTACTAGAGATGAGCCAGGCAGGGGTGATGGGCAGAGGGGATGTGCCAGGGGACCAGGGCTGGGTGCGAGCCACAGGATGGGAACGGAGTTGGAGCTGGTGGGGCAGAGTGGGATGAAAAGCCAGGAGTTGGCTCTGATATTGGGCCAGGGCGTCCACGGGGAGGGAATCGGGTGTGTGGGGGTGGGGGATGGGGAATTGGGTACAGGGGCTGCTATGGGGAGGGCCAGAGCCATGTGTTCTGGTGAAGAGCACAGGCTCAGGAGCCGGCAGTCTAGATTTGAATCCTGCTGCCACTTTTGAGCCTTGTGGTTTCAGGCCAGTCACTGACCTTTCCTATGCCTCTGTTTCCTCATTTGTGAAAAGGAAAATATAACAAAGCCCATCATAGTGTTGTGCGAATTAAGTTTCCTGACAGATCCAAAAGTGTGTAGGACAAGGCCTGGCAACAGCACACAAACTAAATACTTAGCCATGGTCATTGTGCTCACCGTCACTGTGACTGTCTCTGGCTGGAGGGTGAGTCGGTGCTGAGCAGTGTGGATGGCACCCTCGAGCTCCCTGTGGTAGGAGCCTGTCAGCGGGCCAGCCATGTTCAGGCTTCTCTCCGGCCCCTTCTGTACCCTAGTCCCACAGTCACCTGAGGGGGCACTGTGATGGGCTCCTGTCACACACAGGGTGGCAGACACACAGGGAGGGGAGGCCACTTGCTAGGGCTCCACAGCAGGGCTGGCATTGGGATGGGAACCCGAGCAGTGGGCTCCTGAGTGGGGGCGAGGCCTGGAAAGAAGAGGACGAGCCCCCCTTAGGATGAAGGGGAGCAGAAGCCTGGTCCGTGTGGCCTTGTTGGACGTGGAGGGCCCGCAGGGCTGTGGGCAGAGCTTCCTGGAGTCAGCAGCTGTCCCCATGGAACCAGGCCCTGTGCTGGCTTCCTCCAGCAGCTGGGGCAGCCCAGTGCTTTTGTGGAGGCTTCACCGAGCAGGAAGCGGAGACGGTGGGGCTCAGAGCCAGAGCCCAGGCTGCAGGTGTAGCCTCTGCCACTGCCGTCCTTGCCTGGGCACCAGACCCATAGGCAGACCAGCTGCACCCTTGCTTGATGGCTCCCACAGCCCCTGCTGTGCTCTCAGGAGTCGCCATGCTGGTTCTGCCTGCATGTGGAGGGTGACAGCATTTGTAGCCACTCGCTGGCTGCCTGGACATGGCATTGGGCTCTTGGACTCTCCTCTGCCTTGGGGCCAGGCCCAAGTACATAACAGTTGCACCCAGGGGTCCCCTAAGGATTGCTAATACGGCACAGCATGTGGCCAGGCTAAGAACAGAGGCAGCATAGTAGAGTGGTTGGAAATACAGACTCTGGAATTGCATGGATCTAGGGTTTTTTGGGGCAGGGGCAGTCCTGAGATTTGAACCCAGGGCCTTTGCACTGAGCTACATCCCCAACCTTTGTTTCTTTGTTTTCTATTCTGAGGCAGGGTCTTGCTAAGTTGCCTAGACTGAGCTGAAATTTGCAATCCTCTTTCCTCAGCCTCCCAAAATTCTGGGATTATAGATCTGCACCACCATGCTGGGCTGGTAGATCTAGATTTCAGCTCTACTTCCACTTATTAGATGTGTATCCTTGGGAACTCACTTAATGTCTCTGAACTTACTTCCTGCTCTGTAAATTGGAGGTAATAATACCTCCATGGGGACAGTGCTTTGCACGGAGTGCTGTTTTTCAGGTCTGGGGAGTACTTAGAGTGTTAGCATTCTGGAGGATGGAGTGATGGTAGGGGCTTCTGTGTGTGGCTGCCTGGGGAGCTTGGCCTTGACTTTGGGGCTCCTGCCACTTCTCTGCAGACCCCGACTCCAGAGTCCCATCTGACCACAGTCCGGGATGAGCCGGAGGTGCCAGTGAGTGGGGGGCCCAGCGGGGACTTCGAGCTGCCGGAGGAGGAGACCACACAGCCAGACACAGCCAATGAGGTGGTGGCTGTGGGAGGGGCTGCAGCCAAGCCGTCACCTCCACCTGGAACACTGCCCAAAGGCGCCCATCCAGGCCCTGGCCTCCTGGACAATGCCATTGACTCCGGCAGCTCAGCTGCTCAGCTGCCCCAGAAGAGCATCCTGGAGCGGAAGGAGGTGCTCGTAGGTGAGGATGTGCTCTGGGCAAGGGCCTGGGAGGAGCCTGGAGCGCGGCCGCCAGTCAGGCCTCCGTTTTCCTTGGGACTGAGAAGGGTGGTCGGGGCGTGGCTTCCTGGGAGCCAGATCAGAAGGGAAAGCTGGGGACGCCTTCTGGCCTGTCTGCTAACCCTCCCCTTAGTTGATCCTCACTGCCTGCCCATCTCCAGAACTTCCCTCGGTGCCTTCTGTCCCCTGCTTGGACTCTGCTCACCCCTGCTTTCTGCTGGCTGACCCCATGGGGCCCTGCTTCCTGGGTACTAACCTCTAACCCATCCTTTGGCTTGTTGTTCCTCCACTCTCGACCCCAGGCCCTGTGGACCTGCCCTGGCCACATCTGCTAAAGAGCCTTTGGGCAGGTGGTCCGTGTGCAGGCTCCCCCTTAGGAGTAGTGCCGCCTCTGCAGGCTTCTCTCCATTTGCACCTGATCGGTTCTGTTGGGCACGTCTGTGTGGACGCATGCCTTCCGTAACAGGGAAGTGCTGCTGTTTAGATGGCAGAGGGTTTTCTTTCCTAATGTTATCAAATAGAGGAGCATTTTATAGCAAGCTGGCGTCTTGCAGCTGATGCAGACCACAACTTCTTCCTCAAGGCAGGAGTGAGGAGTGGGTGTGGGGCCCACTTTGGATGGTGTGGGCGTGGCCTGGGGATAGAGCCTGTGCAAACACTCTCTTCACTCCTGCTCTGCTGGCAGATTTAGGACTCCCAGCCCTAGGCCCCACCCTCCAGTCCCTTGACCTTCCCTCATGCCTCAGGACCCTGACCTCTGCTCTTTTCCTCCATAGCTGTGATTGTGGGTGGGGTGGTAGGCGCCCTCTTTGCCGCCTTCCTGGTCACACTGCTCGTCTACCGAATGAAGAAGAAGGATGAAGGCAGCTACACACTGGAGGAGCCCAAGCAGGCGAGTGTCACATACCAGAAGCCTGACAAGCAGGAAGAGTTCTATGCCTAGTGGAGCCTCTGTGCCTCCCTGCAGCCTCAGCCGCCCTCACCCAGTCCCAGCCCAGCCTCACTGGCCCAGGCCCGGGACTGGGCCTGGCCCGGTTCTTCTCTGCCCTCCCTCCCACAGCCTGCCCAGGTGGCCAGCCTCACACATTGCCCCCTGAGGAGCAGGGAGTACTGCCGTCTGCCCCAGACTGTGCCCTTAAGAGCTCATCTCTTGTCTCCCACTAGCCTGGGGCTTTGGGACCTTACATCAGTGAAAAGGAGGAAGGAAGCTCCTGAGTGGCTGGTGGGAGAAGGGGAAGGGATGGAGCCTCAGATGGGCTGAGTCTCTGTGAAATCCCAAAGGGCTGGCTCAGTCTCCTTTCTGGGTCAGAGAGGCTGCAGGCTGGCTTCTGGGACCAACACATGGCAGACTCAGCCCTTGAAATCATCTAGACGATGAAGCCTCATTTCCTGTCACAGGGCCTCTCTTTGCCTGGGTGAGGAGGTGTCCTTTGTCACCAGCCTGTTTTGTCCTGGCCTCCTGGGGGTTGTGGGACCATTCTTCCCTCTCCCACATGTGCCCCAGGCTTTTTTCTCCCTTCCCCCAACGACATGGCTTCTGGAGAGTACAGGGGCAGCCACCAGCGAGGATGGCCACCTGATGTACCTCCTGTGAGCGGGGTCTACACTGACACAACTCACTCTGTTATATGTGTTGTCGCTTGGTCACATACAAGACAAAACAGAACAATGACAAAAGCATATCCAGTGCTGACCACCTAGCCCATTCAGACATGCCACAAACATGTCTTCCAGAGATGTGTGTCCTCACGCATTGCTTAACCAACTCTCCAGACACCTCTGTGACGCAAGTCACTAGTCACGGTCACCTGAATGGTGACGGTGTGGTCTGCTTCTCTGTGCCCCGCCCCTGCCATTGACGCACACTGCCATCACACACGTCATATCGAGCTCTCTCAGGCTCACTGGAGCAGGCAGAATTATGTTGGAACAGTCAGCCCATATTGGGTCTTGGTTGCCCTGTTAACACTCGGTCCCACATCAAGGTGCCCACCCCAGTCACATTACTACTCATCCCAGCCTCGGTCAGACGTGGCCCCACGTGGATGCAAGTTAGTCCACGCAACCCTGCGCGCACTGGGGGAAGACCGGTGGACACTTGCCTTTCCTGAAGTAAAGTGTGGTGTAGGAGGACATTGCCACCGGCCCTCCCAGGGCTTTGCACACCTGAAGGCCTGGCCTCAACCCTGACTGCTTCCCTTCCCTCTGTGCCCACAAAGGGAGGTGTTCAGGGCCAGCCCCACCCACTGAGAGCACTGGGATTTCTCCAAGGCTGGAGCAAAACGGGGTTGGGCGCTGAAATTTGGCCCCAGGCTGTGGAGGGTGCTTGGGTCTCCCTGGACCAAAGGCCCTGGGCGGGGAGGGGAGTGGTCTGACTCCTGTCTCCTGCATCCTTTTCCTGCTCTGAGTCAGGGGGCTGATCCTGCCTCCCAGGACACAAGTTTCCAAAGTGCCTGTGAGGGCTGGCCCTCCGCCCGGGCCCTCTGCATCCTCAGCCCTCACCCACCCCGGGGCCTCCCCGTGGATGCCTGCCCACCCATTTGACCAAACAAGTCTGCAGTTCTGGCTGCTGCTGCATGGGCCCACTGCTGGAAGCAGCCCATCCAGATGCCCCAGGCCTCAAGGGCAGATACTTGAGGGACTAGAACAGGTGAGAGCTGGGGGATTGTGTCACAGGCCACAAGCCTGCCTTCCTCTTCTTTGTTATCCTTGAAAGTGGGGCCATTTTATAGGTATTTTAAATGAGGGGTCACCAGTCTCCTTTGGGGGCGTGGCTTGGAGGGGGCTCTGGGAACCAAGGGGACATGGTGTAAACTGTGACTGGTTGGCCCTCCCACCCCCACCTATTACCCATAGCCCAGATCCATGTCAGGAGCCCACCCCAGTTTTAGTTCTGTTCCCTTTTGAAGATTCCCTGGCAGTGGAGCTCTGCAGGGGAGAGGTGGGGTGCTGAAGCAGCAAGGGCCAGGCTCCAGGGGTCCCTCTTCGAGACCTTGAGGCCCGCCTCAGTAGGGCCCAGAGTTGTGTGAGGAACCAGCTTGCTGGAGCCTTTGAGGAGAGGCTGGTGGGGAGGAAGCCTGGGCCCACAGGCCTGGAGCGGGAGGCTGTGCATACCCAGCCTCCCCCTCCACGGGTCCCTGGTGGGCTGCTGTCTCAGGGACGGCAGCTCTGGTGAGGCCTGGGCAGGCCAAGGCTGAGAAACCGGGGAGTGTGAAGGAGGCAGTGTTGGGCACCCAGGCCTCAGGGACATTGGTACTGGGGCAGGGGACCGGCAGTGGGCACAACTTCCATGTTCGGCTGGAGGCCAACATGAGGAGGCCTTGGCTGGCCTGGCTTCTTGTAGCTCAGGCACTGACTTTGGCCTTGGGGCTATGGACTTGATCTCCCAGCACCAGCCTCTCTTCCGTGTCCCTAGTCCTTGAGGAGGGTCTAGACCTAGGCTGAGGGCCTTGTGCTTGGAGCCCTGGGACCCTCGGCCAAGGTCCAGGTTTTATCTTCATGAAGTTTAATGGTCTGCCCAGGTCAGGTCCTTCAGGCCAGTCGTGGGTGGGGCGGGGAGCAGGGCAATCAAAGAGCCCAGCCAAGGGCGAGCTGGAGCTCTCTACAGTGCAATGGGGGTGTGGGGCGCTCCCCCCACCCCAGGTACGGTGTGAAATGTGTAGGGCTAGCCAGGTGGGCCCGCAGACACTCCAGTGCTCCTGGGAGGGTGTCTCGCAGACCCTGGCATTTCCTGGGAGCACAGCACATTCCAAACCAGAGGGGAGCCTGTTTGTCTTGAGATCTGTCCTGGGCTTTGCCCACTGGAGGGCAAGGAGGCTGAACTGAGCTGGGGGCGGGACTGAGCCCTGGCTGTGCTTACTAGAGCCCAGATTCGGTCTCTCCCGGTGGCCAGAGCCGATGGGACTTCCCCTGAAAGGCAGGTCCCCTTGGTCACTGGAAGGATGTGGCAGCAAATGGGGTTGGGCAGGCCTGTGGCAGGGGCCTTGGGAGCCGAGGCTAGACCCTTGGGGTTGGCACAGCCACCTATCAGGCCAGGCTGGGAGCAGAGCCAACTTGGCCTCCCAAGCAGGAGTGGCCTTCTTGGCTGTCCTGGCTTTCCTCCGAGAGCCGCAACCTTGGACTTGCCTCCCCGTGCCTCTAGTCTGTAAATAGAAGCCCACAAACTGTACAGATTTAGAGAGGCCGAGACTGGGCCCGGGAGTCACCATCTGAGGGCTGAAGGCCCAACATCCCCCAGGTGCCCGCCTGGCCCCAGCGTGACGAATGCATGTAAATATTTCTCGTAGGCAGCGTGGCTCCAGAGAGCCCCCTAAAGACAGTGTTCCCCCCTGGTGAGTCCTTTCCTCTGTACAGAGCCCTCCCAGCCCCCGGCCGGTGGTGGGTAGGAGTTTATCCTTCCCCCTCCCTGGCCTTCCCCGCTCTCTTTCTCCCCCATGACCTCTTTATTAACCACCCCGTCCTGAGTTCATGGCCAAAACTTTTAATAAGGAGCAGTGGAGGAAAGACAGTGGACACGGTGACCAAGGCACTGCCCCTCCGTGGGTGTGTGCCTGGCCCAGCCTGGGGAAGAAACTGGTTTTGTTTTGTTTTTTGTTTGATTTTTGTTTTTAACATTTCCCGTGCTGTGCCCATTTATAAGAGGAAATAAAATTAAGCTGAAACGATGCGCTGTTGTCAGAGTGTGATGTTAATACAGGTGACGTTTGGAAAGGGGCAGCCCTGGCCCCCCCTCAGCCTCATCCATCTTCCCCTTTAAAGGAAATTGAGAACTGAACTGGGAGAATTGACTGACAACTCCTGTGGGAACCATTACAGTAAAAGCTGCCCCTGGTTCAGAGTGTTTGGGAAACCCTGCAGCTAGTGTGGTTAAGGTGGGGTGGGGTGGGGCTGTGGTTCACCCCCAGGGGGAAGAACTCTGCTTTCAGGCCACAAAGAGAGACTCTGGGTACCACAGAATAGTGGACTCTGAGCTGCCAGGTGGGTGGCTTTGGGCCTGATGGCTGTTCTCACACTCCGATGGTGACATTTCCTAGCTCTGACTCTGGGCAAGCCTCTTGGCCTCTCTGAGCCTCAGTTTCCTCATCCATAAAATGGAACGACAATATCCCCCAAATGGAATGTGGTGGGGATTGTACAAAGAGCAGTCTATACAGGGTCTGGCAGCCAATGTGGCTCACAGGATCTTGGATGATGGAGTCGGGCCAGAACGGAACCAGGGCTAGAACTTCGGTTGCCTGGGTCATATACTGGTGCCTGGGCTTGCAGGGACATAGTCCTGGGAGGGTCCCGAGCAGCCTGGCCCCTCCGGGAATTCCAAAACCTTCTTTAGAGCCTTGGTGGGTTCTTCCTGGCCCCCACTCTGCCCAGCTCTCTTGCCAGGAGCACCCTGAGGGCTATGCTCTCTCAGTCTGTTCTGAAGTCCAGGCCCTTCTCATCTGAAACTCGCCTTGCCTGTGTGGCCTGTCTCTGGTGCTCCTGGTGCTCTTGGGCATGTGGAACTGTTCTACTCCCAGCCAAGGGACAACACCTAGGCTTGGGTATGATAGCCATGAGTGGCCCTCCTCCAAGGGAAACCTCTGTAGGCCCTGCAGATATTTCTTCTGGAAATTTCTTCCCCTGAAAATGTGATACACAGGGTACTGATGGTCAGGGTGGGTTGGAACCTAAGGCCTATGGATCTGGTCAGGGTCCTCCCCTGCCACCTCTTCCCCTTCCTCCTTGCAATAAATATTCTCTCTCTTTTTTTTTTTTTTCCAGTACCGGGAGTCAAATGTATGACCTTGCGCTTGCCAGGCAGTCGCTGTGCCGCTGAGCTACATCCCCAGGCCGCAATAAATATTCTCAAGGGTCCACTTACCTCTGACCTCTGCTTGGGGCTGGGAGGTGAGAAGTCACCAGTACAGACCCATCCCTGCCCTCCACGCCCTCCTCCCCGCCGGCCACATACAGTCTATTGGCAGCTGGACAATAATCAGCCGCCTGACTGATGGCACTGGTGTGGGGCGAAGGGGTCCTTCTTCCTCAGCTGCCACCTCCAAACTCTATCCCTCTTTGCTGCTTGGAAGTTCAGGGACAGAGCCCCAAGGCCCAGGGCCCCACTGTGGGACCTCAGACAACTTGTCACTTGGAGCGTCAGTCTGCACAGCTATAAAGTGGGGAAGAGGGGCCAGATCTGCAGAGGGCTAGGCTACGCGCCTGCTGTGATGCAAGGGGCTGGTTCACCAGGGTTCAATGCCAAGCATCTGTAGCTGTTCATCCAGGAAGCTTCTGGAAGGCCATGCTCCCCTTCCTCGGAGCTCCCTTGGCCTGTAGTGTCCCTTTCAGGGGCCCCCCGCCTTCCCCACTGAATTCCCCTTGGGAGAGCAGAAAGCATAGTCTTGGAGTCAAGCTGTGAGGCTCTGTGCTTGGGCGCCTTGCTCTACCTCTCTGGGTCTCTCTGTCCCCACTTGTGAAAGGGGACAAGAAAGTTGCCGCGTGGAGGCTAAGGCGAGGGCTCCCTGAGACACTGTACTGAAGTGATCTGGCCTGGCGCGTGGCTTCCGTGGCCATCGCAGCAGGACTGAAATTCCTCTCTTCAGTACCCGCCTTTACCAGGCAAACCTTTCTCCAGAACCCAGCTCTGCCACACACTGGCTGCGTGGTCTCGGGTGAGTTCCATCCACTCGGCGCAGTTTCCTCGCCTGTTGAGAGGCACCGTGCATCTGTTTCGCATGCATGAGGTTGGCCCTGTGCTGGGCCTAGGAAAGGTGTTCTGTGACTGTGGCCATTATTATTATTATTGGTGTTGCTGCTTTTAGGATTCACAGGGCCCAGCACTCTGACTGCTGAGTGGAGAAGTGACCCTGAACCTGGGTCGAAATCAAACTGTCAGTATCGGCTCCCATTCGACCTATGACTTCTGCTTGGGGCTTGTTAGAGCTGAGGCTCACTGCCATATGTTTGGGCTGCCCAGATGGTCTGGGTACTGCTGGGAGCTGGAGCGGTTTCTTCTGGGCCCCTTGGCCTGAGGGCAGGAGGAAGAATGGCTGATTGTTCCTGGCAGCCCAAGAGGTCACAGCCACTGGCCTAAGCTGCCCTGAGAACAGAGTGTGCTCAGCGCCCAGGCCTACGGTCTCTGCCAGCCTCGGAGTGGGCTGGGGGCCAGCCTCGGACCCGGGCTATCACTGCTGGAGCTGGGGAGGAAGGAAGCCGTGCCACATGTGTGGCGGGAGTAGAGGGCGGACGGTAAGGGGCATCTGGGCCCAGCTCTGCTGCCGTCAGCTTACTTAACCCCAGGCAGCTCTGGCCGCTGGGCCTGTTTGTAAAGGAAGAAACTGAGCTCAAAGAGCAGAGACCCAAACCTCAAAGCTGGCAGAGGGTGCAGTGGGGTTTGACCCTGGGTGTCTGCCGGGTCTCACGGTTCCCTTGCTGTCTCGTCCCTGCCTGCTGTGTGAGTGCGGACAGGTTAGGAAGCACTGCTCAGCCTCAGTGATAGCATCAGAACCATGGAAGCCGTGGGTGTAATGGGAAGCCTAAAGAAATATACTAACCCAGGACGTGCGGGATGTCTCCCAGTCGTCAGCACTGGTCCGCACACTTCATCTCATCTAATTATTGGAGATAATTTATTACCCCATTTTACACAGAAGACATTGACCTTATCAGCAAAATCTGTGCCACGGGACACTTATCAGACAATGGCCCAGTTTCTTCAATAAATAAATTGTAAGGAAGAAGAAGGAGCAGGAGGAGAAGGAGAAGGAAGGAGAAGAAGAAGAGAGAAGAAAGAGAGAGGTGGAGAGAGAAGATGTATTTTAAAAGTTATTTTGAGTTAGGGTCTCGCTATATGGCCCAGGCTGGCTCCAAACTCGTGGGCTCAAGCCATCAGCCTCCTGAACTGCAGCCTCCCAGACAGATGGGACTAGAGACACATGCCGTGGGCACTGGCTAGCGAATTTATAAACACAATTAAAAGATGTTCTCAGGCTGAGGCAGGAGGATCACTGTGTGTTCAAGGCCAGCCTAGTCTACATAGTGAGACTGTGTCTTAAAAAACAAACCAAACCAAAGCAAAAAGTTCCCAATCAATGCAGAAACCTAATATGGATCCCGATTCACACTAATTACTTTTAAAATGCCAGCTATAAGGCAAGTAGACATTTGAACATGGAGTGAATATTATTAAGAAATCTTTTTCAGTGCTTTTTGATGTGATAAGGGCCGGTGGGGAGAATACTAGGGCTTTGTGCATACTAGTAGCTTAACTAGACTACAGCCCTTTGTACAATTTTATTTTGAGGCAAGGTCTCATTAACTTGCCCAGGCTGACCTCCAGCTTAGGATCCTCCTGCCTCAGCTTTCTGAGTAGCTGGGTTTATGGTCGTGTACAACTGCTGACTCCTCCATTTTCACCTCTTCCCTTCTCCTCCCTGCCCTTTCTCCTCCCCTCTTTGCTCTCCACCTCCTCTTCCTCATTCACCTCCTCCTCTTTCTCTGCCTCTCCTCCTCTTTCAGGGATACAGACCGAAATCTTAGCAGGTAAAGTGACAGACTGTCCGGGATTGGCTTCCAAATCCTGTGGGGGCGGGGTGGAGGTGGAACAGGAAGTGAGATAGATGGGCTTGAATTGATAATTGCAGAAGCTGAGAAATGGGCACATAGGGGGTCGTTATATTAGTCTCCTACTCTAAGTTTTTAGTTAAATTCTCATAATAAAATGTTCAAGGAAAGAAGAAACTGAATCTCAGGGGCCCTGGGGATCTGCCTGAGGTCTCTCTTCCAGGAAATGAAGAGCTGGATCTTCAGACCCCAAGCCCAGGTCCCTGGCCACTCTCCTTGCTTGCATGCCTGGGGTGAGCCCCGTGATGTCATCCTGCCCCCGGCTTTTTGTCACCCGCTTCTGGACAGCCCACACTTTCAGGGCCCCTATCCCCCCCCCCCCCGTTTCTGTGGAGACTGCTTCTCATGAACGGCGCTGACGGAGTAACCCAAGTGGGATCCCGATGGTGCCGTGGCTTTGGTGCTTTCCCTATTGCAGGGAGAGTCGCAGCGGTCGTCTTCCCTCCCCAGGTGAGCTTTCTAGGGAGTCCTTGGCCTCGCTCTCATGTCAGTCCTGGGAGGTGGGCTAGTTGGGCTTACCCGTCCCGCTCTGAGGGACAGTGGCTTTGCCCCCACCCATCAAGGCTCTGGTCATGTCCAGACCTGCATCATATCTTGCTGGAAACTGTGCAAGTGACCCTCCCCAGCCATCGTGCCCTTCAGGGAAAGGGCATGGGTTGGACACGGGTTCTCCTGGGTTGTCCTTGGAGGAACCACCACACCCCCAGCTTTGGTTCCTCCTCTGTAAAGTAGGTGTAGACACTGGCTGCAGACACCGTGTGTGGGGCTGGGGCCCCGAACAGCAGGCAGGTCAAAGTGTTCGGCATAACGAGTGACACTTGGCAGGTGCAAGCTGTTACGGTACGGGACTCACGGTACCAGCAGCAAGATGGCATCATCATGGGAGCCATGTGCCGGACCTATGTTCAGCCCTTTTTCATATGTGTGAGGCATTTAAGACAGTGCCTGGCACGCAGCAAGCACGGCACGAGTGCCCACTAAATAAGTTTACATGGTGGCTCCTTTAACCTGCAGGTTAAGTCTGAGAA